AGAAAAAGGAAAAAAGCTATGCATTAAAGGTTATATAAACTATAACACTCCATCAATAAACGTAAAAATTAGTCTCCAAGGTTAAAATTTCAGTTATAGCCACAGCTGTCAAGTTACAAAAGGGATCTCTACAAAGCGCCAACGACAGTGTGAGGCAATCTTTACTTCCTTCATTCCTCTACTAGTAACTATTAGACAGAGAATGCAGCATCATCTCAAAAAGGTGAGGAGGTGGCTTTATTCTGAGTAAACATAAGCAAGCATGAACAGATCTTTAACATGGAAAACATGAAATACTAGGTCTGTGGGGTAGCTGGCCATTTTGAAAGCCGTCTGAGCAGGAAGATTAGTAAGAGAAAAATGAATCTTCCCCAAAGTATTCAATCAACGCATTATGAAAAGAAACTAGCAAGAGAAAAGAGTACAAGCAATACAGAAGGAACAGGAACACAGAGAAGGTTAAGATTAATTTTTGACTGCAGACAAGTTTTATAAAGCCTCACTATATCCAATATAGATCCCAAATTCTAAGTTCGACTATGCCTTCTGTGGCCATGTCATGTCATCATTCTTCACATCTCTGGCTGCCAGCACTCTTTACCAAGGAGAGTGATCACATCTAATGTTCCTTCCTTATAACTGCATCGGAGAATGTCCCTGTCATAAGAAGCCATCAAAGTGCCTTGGTAACCTCCGAAGGCACTGTCCCAATTCCCACCCTAATCTTAGACCTATTTTCATGCCTGTTACACTTAACTTCCCATAATTTGGAGAGCATTTCACCAGAAAATTAACAAATGCACACTGCAGTTATACTACTCTGCACTGTAAATTTTGTTCCAAGCCAGTCTGGCTTGCTTTAAAAACTCTGTCTACCAGTATTACAAACTGTTGTGGGTAGACAGCAGCTTATGTGATCTACTTGTTCAATATTGAATCTGCAACAGCTGTAATATTTGGACAGGGCATAGTGAAAATTATATCAGAGACTTTGTAACATACCTGTGGAATGTGGTTTTTAAAAAACAGTTCTCACTGCCAGCATATCTGAACTATTGAAATACATTTGAGGATCCAGTCAACTAGGTTCATTTTAAATCAGTAATGCCACCAAAGCTATAGCAAGGGAGCCTCAGAAAAAATCAAGTATACAATGGGAGGAGGCAACAGAAAACCCGTAAGTTATCCTTAAATCTTGGTTCCAGTGCCACATCCAAATCAGTCCTATATTCCACTTTATTCTTCCAAACCAACAATCATAAAAGGTTTAACATTTACAAATCTGGATTGCTTGATAAGCAATGGAAATGTGCATGTTTTGGAATGCCTCAAATCCTTGACACATAGACTCCTTCCTCAGATTTCTCAATGTGCTAGTCTAATACTCTAGAAGCTACAACTCCAATTGATCCACATTTGGGATGAGCACCTTCAGTTCAAGGCATGAAGAAGACGCTGCAATGACTTTTTCTTTTGTCAGTTTTTCCTTCATATCACAAATGAAATGTTGCTTGTTAAATTATATCAGAGGTTATCTGTGGGAATCAGTAGTAGCATATTACATTTGTGCTCAGAACAGACATTAATGGATGTTTGCTTATTTATTAAAATGTTTTAATTAATAAATAAATAAATATTTATTTATTTTTCGATTTATATCCTGCCTTTTTCCTACAAAGGGCTCAAGGCAGCTTGCATCATTCTCCTCCTCCATCTTATCCCCACAGCAACAACCCTGTGAGGTAGGTTGGGCTGAGAGTCTGTGACTGGCCCAAAGTCACCCAGTTGGCTCCATGGCGGAGCGGGGACTCGAACCCAGATCCTCTGAGTCCCAGTCCCGTGCTCTTAACCACTGCACCCCACTGGCTCTTCTTTCTCTCTTCCTCTCTCACATGCACAAAAAACCCTGGGAGTTGCTTACTGTATCACATCTTCTTCAAAGAGCAGCACAAGCAACAACTTGCAGGAGAGGATGTATACTATAAAACACCTTTCTTGCCTGAGGGTCAGAGCTGGCAAATGGATTTAATGGACGTTTATCTTTGAAAACACTTGGTGGAAGTTTTATGACATCCTTCACCAACCTGAGAATTTTTTACTATCATGTGATGTGAAGGACATCACATAAAAACTACCTATTGCCTGTGGCCCTAATCGCATTCAAGTGGTGAAAAACCTTTCCTAATAAGACTCAATAAACGTCACGTGATAAACTAGATACAAAAGAAGCAAAAGCCCTACCTGAAGTCGTTTTCCTGAACATAGACCAACTATGCCTGAGAGGTTTGACAGCTCAGATGCTGACACAGGGTCTTCTCTTAACACAGGATCTGGAACCTTTTCAAACTCCAGATCCAGATTAAGCAAGAATCTTGGAGTAACAGAAGCTTTCAAAATGCTTCAGAAGGGTCAAGTGGGTCAACGCTTCCCTCATTCCAGTTTTTCTGTCCACAGCTAAGCCAGTAAGTGTCGGGGTGATGGACAGATTGTTTCCCTCGGAGGAACTGGAGTCATTCACTTACAAAGGCAAAGGCATCCAGCTATTGGCTGAATGTCTTTCCAATTCCTGGAAGTCTCAGTCACATGCACCTGCAGCTTAGGTGGCTACTTGCCAGCCTGCTGTCCGATCTCCAGATGCTGCTTTTAAATGCCATATTGGTACATAATCAAATGTGCAGGCCTCCCACCCTTCATCATGTTTCAATAGTGAATGAGGCAGTCAGTCTGAAAAGTATAGCCAACTTCAGGATGCCCGTACCTGGACTTTGCCTTTACCTACGATCCTGCCATCCTGCCATGGTTTGCCGGTAATTGACCTCTGTAGATATTGAGACTTGCTTTGCGTCTGGCCCTCGAGCATTCTGCCAAAACCTCCATTCTTCTCCCACACCCTAGTCCCAGTATGCTAGTAACACTTGCCTCCCACATCTCAAGCTTGTACAGACCACCCTCTAAGTAACCTGGATCCAGACAGGTTCTAGAGACCTCTAGAAGGATTTCCAGCTGATACGGCTGGCAGTCATGTTGAAGCCCTGGTTGATTTGAGGAATGCAGAAGTGACCCAGGTGCTTGGTATGATTGAGCCTGAGCATCCACTCTGCAGTGGCGCTTGAAGGTCACTCAAGGTTGTCTAAACCTTGTCTAAAGGTTGAGATGCTGTTACTGCATGGTTCTTCTGACAGGAAGGGAGACGCTAAACTCCTCTAAAGGCATACACTAATAGTTTGGGCCACAGAGCCATATTTGTCACTTGAGCCTCATGCAGTCTCAGTTGCATTAAGTGTCTTCTACCAGATTTGACTAATGGCTCAGGTACACCCTTATCTCGAGAGGGATAACCTAATTTCAGTAATTTCTGCTCTAGTAACATTCAAGTTTGACTATTTCAATGCATTCTAATATTGTATTGGTTGTGGTTTGTAATTTTTCTGAATGGTTGTGAACCACCCAGAAGGCTTCAGTTATTGGGTGGTACAGAAATCAAATAGTAGTCTGTTGCTGTCTGTATCAATTCATCTTAAACTGTTGTGTGGTCCAACAAGAACTAGAACGTGAAAGGACACTTGGAGATGGATCTATAGATGGTGGTTATCAGCATCCATTGTCACTCTCAGTTGGAAAGCTAAACCAGAAACCTGATTGAATAGGGTAGGCACATTTTCTGTGGCAGTCAATTCTTTCTGAAGAACACACTGACTCTAGTATTTTAATACATTTATGGCATTCATGTTAAATGTTATCTCTAGATTCCAATTCATATTCCCTAAGTGAAAGAGTGGCTAGAGGGAATGGAATGAAGGCTGAATCCAACTGCCCCATCCTTATTTGTGTCATCGTCCTCCATGGCTACACTGCTGACTGCCTGGGACTTTAAGGATATTCCTGGTTCAGTCAATGGCCTGGTTCATATGATCAAATAGTCCACTATGCCTTAGTTAAGCCATGCTCAGCTGTGGCATCTGCAAGTCACCATTTCAGATATTAAGCTTGTCGTACTGTGCAAAACCAGGTTAACCCTCACATATTCCACGATTTCTGGATTCAGCATAAGCCATGGTTGGGCACTGAATGGGCAAATTTTGCAAAGTATTCACTGCAATCCACAGAGGCTTAAGAGATCTAGGGTGAGCTCTTTTCTACATACAAACCAGCCCAGTGGCTCTACCACCAACCAGGAAGCTTCATAGTGAACTGTCTGAATGAAATGAAAGTAAGCTCCAGGAAAGAAATGGCTGAGGTCAGTTTCCAGCTCTGCATACTTGTATTGCTTTTTAAAATTGTATTTGTAGTTTCTAAACAGAATTGTATCCTCTCTAGGGAATCTGTCTTACAAAACACATGGAAAGATGTAGAGTAATACTGACTAGAACCAATGGTAGAATTCACAGTTAACACTTTCTGAAGATGAACAAATAGGCACTTACTTTCAAATACTTAGATATGTTGAAATGTTTTGCATAAGAGATCCACCTACTTTCTTATTTATTGATAAATTTACTCTGCAGCATATTCTGACTTGGAAGAGAATTTAGCTTTTAGGAGGTCACAGTAATATATATATATATATATTTGCCATGTAGTCCTAGGTACATCAGATTAATAAATTAAAACAAGACCAAAAACCTAACCATCACCATCAGTGGCTTTTAAGACAGAAAAGGATATAAATAAATGATTGACTGAAGTCACAGTTAAACAATGCAATCATGACCTAAGAGGGGAAAGTTGCAAAGATGAACATTGGAAGTTGGAAAGCTGTAATCCTATGCACATTTATTTGAAGTAAGAGCTACTGAAAAGAGTGAAACTTATATCCCACCAAAAAAAAATCAGAATAATTAGGCTATTATGTATTACTATGGTTAGGCTATTATATGCATGTATATGTCATTGTATTATTGCACTTAACCTTTAAAAGTAGTTTGCTCTTACTGAATAATTAAGCTACACATAGTATCTACCTGCTGAATACACACAATTCTGGTAAAACAAGGTCTTACCTTCCCTGTGCTTTGTAAAACAGTAGTTCTTGTCCGCCACACTCTTTCCCTGCTGACAATGTCTCTAGTTACATCAACCTCTGCATCAACAAAACTTCGCTGTTTAAGAGCGGTTATGTCGTCATCCAAATCTGTCTTAATAGTGGATCTTTTCTTGGCCATGATTTTGGCTTTGATGGCAGCAATCTTTTCCACAGACATGGCTTCAGACAAGGATCTAAAGAAGGATTGTGTGAGGAGATTGAGTGGAATTACAAACCAGCATTTGGCTATGTAACAATAGCATGATAAATGCTCCCTTGTTAAAACACAAGTAATCTAGCTGTAAATTAATACAATTTTGTTCTACCAATGTTTTTATTTTTCTGCTAATCCTGCCCCATCCCTAAAATGTAGACACACATGTATCTTCTTCTCACCCTCCCTCATACACACATACAAACACACAGTGGAAACCAGCCAAATAGTATTTATTTATAGTACAACCCTATCAACGCCTCTTCAAATCTAAGTCCCATTGCATTTAATAAGGCTTATTCCCCTGGTAAGCACATTTAAGATTGTAACCTTACAGTGCAATCCTATGGATGGCCACTCAGAAGGAAGTCGCTCTGTGCTGAAAGTTTGGAAGGAAATTGTATCACCTCCAGCCTGGCTTGTGGCTTGAGGTCAGGACTGAGTCTGCCTTGGTTTCCCTGCTGGATGGCTTATGTCAGGGAATGGATAAATGGCACTGTGGCAGTATTAGCTTTCCTGGCCAGCTCAGAAGTCCTCGGGACCACTGACTGTAGCATCCCTCTGGACGGAGATGGGTCTCGAAAGCATGGTGTAAGAGTGGCTCCAATCATGCCCAGGAGAATTCACTTCTAACCCTTGACCGCTATTGTCCTACCTCTTGCCATTATTTCTGTGTGAAACATGAGGACTCCCAGGAAAGATCATTTACAGAATCATCAAAGTACTTCTTGCTGTGTTCAAGCTCCAAGTTAGATTCCCAACTAGAATCCTTCAACTCTCTCTCTATACCCTCATGATATCCAACTTAATTAACAGAATCTAATTAAGTATGCTGGGCCATAAGACGTATAGTGCAGGGGTTGGCAACCTTAAACACTCAAGGAGCCAATTGGACCCATTTCCCACCGAAAAGAAAACACCAGGAGCCACAAAACCCTTTTGACATCTAAAATGAAGATAACACTGCATATATCGTTTTTTACCTTTATGCTATGTGTAAAAAAAAGCTATAGTGCGTTGCATTTATGAAATCAATGAAGAAATGCTACAGAGAAAATAATTTTTTTTTTCTGCATGCAACAAAAACATTTTGAACTTCAAAAAAAAAGACGCTGGGTTGAAGGTTACTTTCATATAAAATACTCAATGTCTATTTGAGTCCTCCTTGTATCTATGAAATGAAAAGCCGAACTTAAATTATCCACCTGCAACAAACCAAAAATGCCATCTGCTTCTGTGTGCTGTCATCCTTTTATCGCGTGTACTGGAGGGTCGAAAAGCTCAATAAATTGCGTGCCAGCGGGCGTTGCACATTGGTGGTTGTGACACATATTTTGAGTGACAGGGAGCCACAGCAGAAGGATGAAAGAACCACATGTGGCTCTGGAGCCGCGGGATGCAGACCCCTGGTATAGTGGGTCAGACGAAGCTACACTGAATTCAGTGATATTTAATTAGGCAAAAATGATAGCAACAGTTGCACATGCAGTAGCAGAAATGTTAAGCATATTTGTTTATATGAAAGAGGAATCCCATTTGATGTCTTTTACTGAAAAGGTATTTGGACAACTAAATACACCTATTTTCCTAATACATTCTTTAAAAGTTAGTAACACTTTCTGACTGATCCTCACTTCCATTTCAGGCTAAATCAAGTTTTCAACAGTTGAGTTGGCCATTTTGGCCAGGACACATTTCAAAAAGACCTGCCCGTCAAAAGCATTTTCACAATTCTCCAATTAGCAGCATCATGAACAAAGCAAGACTCGCCTGATCTGCTCTGTCTGTACAATGCCTTCCTTGTGCCCCTCCAGTCGAGCTGCAAGCCGCTCTTTGTCAAGCCGCACACACTCTTCATCCTAGGAAGAAGAGTAGCATTTGTGACTGTCTCTGTTCCCTTCATGGACAATCAACTGACGTCTACATTTAATAAATTAAAAAAAAAATCAGCTGGACTTCCAAACTATAACCGTACAAAAGAAACTGTTTTGGAAGCCCTTAATCAATTACTGGTGACTTGATATATTACTCATTCTTCACCTTTCACAAAATCTTCCAGGAGGAACTCTAAGAAGCAATCCCAAGGACGCAGACTACCTTGAAACTAGTTATCGTAAGCTCAGGCAAGTTTTAAACCTTTTTCCTTGATACCCAAAGCCCCCTGCCCAATAAAGCAAGGCAAACTACTTGAAATATGAAGAGTTCATAGAATCACAAAATAATAGAGTTGGAAGGGGCCAAGAAGACCACTGGGTCCAATTTACACCATCCCACTCAGATGACTCTCCAGTTCCTTTATGAATGCCCCTAGTGTGGGAGAGCCCATGACCATTCTAGGCAACTGGTTCCACTGTCACATTGCTCTGACAATTAGGGAACTTTTCCTGATATCTAGACTGACTCTGGGTTGTCGCAGCTTGAGCCTATTATTCCGTGTCCTACACTCTGGTATGAGTGAGATCTTGTCCTTCCTCTTAGTGACAGCCTCTCAGATTCTTACAGGGGGATATTCCCCCCACTCAGTCTTCTCTTCTGAAGGCTGAACATGCCCAGTTCTCTCAGTCTCTCCTCTGGGCATAGGGCAATTGCTTTCAAACCCTGAATCATTTTTATTGCCCTCCTCTGGACTGTTTCTAATTTTTCTGCATCTTTCTTAAATCTTGGTGCCCAAGTTGCAAAACAGGGTTGTGATATGGCATGGGGTAAACCATCCAAAAAAAAAATCCCAGTGACCTACCACAGATCCCTTGCATGAGCCTGAACAATTACTTAAATCCAGAATATTGTCATTTATACACTGTTTAGTGAAAGACAAAATGGCCTGCTTCCTTTCATTTTGCTGTACAAATGCAATATAGTGATACGAAGCACCATGAGAATACCAAGGGGAGAAACATGTCAGAAAGGTTTTAAGAGCAAATAAAACCAAAACCCACTTCACCCCGTAAAAACCTTACACAAAACTTTGCTAATTTACCTCTATTCTTGGTTTCTTTGCTTCTGCAAATATTTCATCAGCTGCCCTTTTAACTACAGAGGAAGAAAAGGAAGATATCATACATAGGACAGTCCTTTACAAAGTGTACCATTACACCATCCAGTAACCAAACTGTACCTTGAGTAGATCGCTGAAGACCTATTTCAAGTGGTGCACTTCTGTCTATACTTGAGGATGTTGCTAAAAAGAAAGATGGAAAAGAAGATGGAAAAAAGAAAATTGAAGAAGTGTTTTTAAATGTACGAACAAAGCAGTCAACTGAATATAAGACTGAAAAACTATACTAACATTTAAAATTGGTTGATCACATGCCCACAGTAATAAACTAATCTAAAAAGTGCCCTAGCACCACACTGATACCTTGACTGCTACTTGTTTTATTTCAACGTTCACTGCTGTTTGTTTCCAATTTTAACAGGGTCTCAAAGACAGCTAAAACTCATCTTGAAAGGAAATGCAGAAAATGATACAAACTTCATTTTAAACTCCAAATTCAGTTAATCTGATTACTTTTTTACATTTAAGAGTTACGTTAATTTTGTAAAAAAGGGGACAATAACATTACTCAGTCTCCAAATGTCTGAGGAAATAGAATATCACTACCCTTCAATTTACCAGGTATAATTTCAGGTAGAGGAAAAATCCTGTGACCAGCAAAAGCATGAAACAGTTAAACATTCTTAACTCACATGTTTCGCCATTTAGATATGCAAGGAGGTCTTTTCTGTCAGGTCTCCTTACCACAGGAATGTTTTCTGTCTAAAGGAATGAAAATATGCTTTTAGAAGCACAGAAACCTGGAATTTGTTTCAAAACATATCCAGCGAAATAGTGTATGTGAACGTATTCCTATTTCTTTAATGTAAACTGAAATTTTAAAACTTTTATCAGGAAAATGACACTCAGCATTTTTCCCAAGATTTAACTAGTTTTAATAACCACAGTATCATATGTATGATTTACATATTTTCTCAAAGGAAAGGTTAATGAAGTGTGATTCTCCACTGAATTTGCCAAGAAATTTGAGCATATTTCTTCATAGCTCGTAACTATAAAGAGCAACAGATTTAAAAATATATTCCTTTGAATTAAGGAAACTATCCACAAATCCTGCTGCCCTGGCATAACTATCAATTTCTCTCCCCTGAAGCCTGGAACCGAACCCAAGCAAATCTGAGCCATGCTTGGAGTAATGAGATCACCTAGCTGGGAGGCTGTGCGATTCTGACAAGCCAAAATAGTTGCAATGGCTCACAGCAAAGGAATAGAGGCTTACACATCTGCAGCACTTTGCAGAAAGTTGCCGTACCTTTTCCCTACCAGTTGCTGTGCCACCGATTCTTGCCATGCCATTGCATGATGAAAATATTTCCAGATCTCCATGATATCTGGAGTGAGGTGCCAGAGAGAATTGCCAACACGGTGCCAGACAGTATGACACTAAGTTGTGTGCTGGGCTCTACTTCCCTACATAACAGAATTACTAACTTGATATTGCATGCAACTATATGTTTAAAAGTCCCAATTTAAAATTTCCTTTTTCAAGGGAAAGCAGCTTTGGGAAAGGGTCGCTTGAAGTGTAAGAGAGTTACTTAACCCATCATTTACAGACATGTGCTTGGCAAGCTATGGGTTGTCAGGAGAAATGGAGGAAGAAATCAGCAGGAAGGGAATTTATAAGCTCCCTTTCCCTTTAAATTGTCCCTGTCCAGAAGAGGCCACTAGTGAAATCATTACACAATTGCATGATGTAGTCTGACACCAGCATAAAGTAAATACCATAGAAACAGAAAAAAGAGCAAGTCAGAAGGGGCCTCTGGGCCGTCTAGTCTGACCCCTGGCTCCAGCCAGCTCCGCTCACGACATGCCCGCCATGTGCATGTCCAGCCTACCTTTGAACAGCCTCACTGATGGGGCCTCAACCACCTCCCGTGGAAGCCCATTTCACACCCTCGGGATCCTAACTGTCAGGAAGTGCTTCCTGGCATCTAAATGGAACCTTGGTTCCCTGAGTTTTGCTCCATTGGAGCGTGTCCTGCCTTCCTCTGAAGGGGAGAACAGGTCTCTACCCATCTCCGTGTGACATCCCCTCACATACCTGTATGTTGCCAACATATCGCCTCTGAGTCTCCTCTTCTCCAGGCTGAAGAGACCCAGTTCCCTCAGTCTCGCCTCATATGGCATCCCCTGCAAACCGGCCACCAACCTTGTGGCCCTACGCTGCACTGACTCTAACCTGGCTATATCCTTTCTGTAATGAGCGGCCCAAAACTGAGCACAATACTCCAGTTGCGGGCGCACCAGAGTCGTATAGAGTGGTAGTAATACCTCTCTCAATCTAGAAGCCACACTTCAGGCTATGCAACCAAGGGTGGCGTTCGCCCTCTTGACCACCGCATCACACTGATGACTCATGTTCAGCCTGCAGTCAACCAGTACCCCAAGGTCCCTTTCACAAGTGCTGCTCTCCAGCCACTTGTCCCCCAACCTGTACTTATGACAGCTATTCCTATGCCCCAAGTGCAAGACCTTGCACTTATCCACATGGAACACCATCCTGTTGTCTCCTGCCCACTTCCATAGTCTGTCCAGATCCTTTTGGATCTGGACTACCTGCTCCTCAGTTGTGGCCAATGCTCCAGTTTTAGTATCGTCTGCAAATTTGATCAGCAGACTGTTTAGCCCTTCTTCCATGTCATTTATGAAAAGATTAAACAGGATCGGCCTCAGGACAGAGCCCTGGGGGACCCCGCTTGTCACTGGCTGCCATCCCGATCATTCTCCACTAATGGTTACCCTCTGCTTTCGGTCAGTCAACCATGCCCTAAAATCCACTGGACAGTGCTTTGGTGTATCCCAAAACTCCTCAGTTTCTCCACCAGGATATCATGGGGCACTTTCTCAAAGGCCTTGCTGAAATCCAGGTAAACCACATCCACTGCATCCCTTCCATCTAGCCATCTCGAAACCTTATCATAGAATTCTACAAAATTTCTCTGGCAGGACCTGTTCTTGCGGAAGCCATGTTGCGTGGCTGCCAGCCTCCCTTCCCTGTCTAGCATAACTAGATCTCTCTCTATTATGAGCCTTTCCATTGTTTTTCCTACAATGGATGTAAGGCTAACAGGTCTGTAATTCCCCATGTCCCTTCTACTACCCTTTTTGAAAATTGGGACCACTGATGCCACCCTCCAGTCCTCTGGAACTTCACCCGTTCTCCACGAGGCCTCAAAAATGGAGGCCAGCGGACGTGAGAGAACCCCTGCCAACTCTCTAAGTACTCACGGGTGTAACCCGTCAGGGTCTGGCGCCTTTGTAATGTCCAATGCCCTGAGGGGTCCCTCAACTTCAAGTGGGATGACTCTAATCTGCGCCCCTAAGTCCCCGACCTCATCTAATCTCCTATGCGGATCTCCCCTGTCCTGCTTTGGGGAGAACACAGAGGCAAAATAGTCATTTAGCATCTGTGCCTGTTCCCTCATATCAGTCACTGGATCTCCTTCCTCCTTATTTAGTGGTCCCACTACTTGTCTCCCCTTCCTCTTCCTATTCACATGCTGAAAGTCCTTTTCGTTGCTCGTGATATTCTTGGCAAGTCTCAGATCGTAATCAGCCTTAGCCTTGCGAGGAATCCTTCTGCAATGGGCCTCTTCCTCCTGGTATACCCTTTTGTCTGTTTGCCCCAGTACGCATTTCCTATGGAGGTTCCTCTTTCATCTAATCCCTCTAACCACCTCCTTTTGCATCCATGGCGGCACTCTCCTCCACCTCCCCACCTTACTAACTAGAGGAATCGTCAAGACTTGCACCTCCAAAAACCTCCCTTTTGAGTGCCATCAACCCCTCCTCAACTCGCTTACCTTCTAGTAACCTATCCCAGGACACTTTCCCCAGTAAGGCCTTCAGTTGGCCAAAGGTGGCCCTCTTGAAGTCCCAGCTTCTAGCGCTTGACCTGCTGCACGTCCCCAGTCCCCTGATCTCAAAGCAAAGGATGGAGTGATCACTCGCATCCAGAGCTCCCCTAATCTGTACTTCATCTATCAGCCCCCACCCCCCCTGCTCATTTTACAGTCTTCCAGATGAAGCTCACTAGAGCATCTCCAAAGGACCTTTTCCCCATCCTCGTGAGGTGCAACCTGTCCTTTGTCAGAAGTCCATTGGCAAGAAACCGAGTGCCGTGGTTGAGGAACCTGAAGCGTTCCTTCTGGCACCACACCCTAAGCCAGTTGTTCACCTTGGAGACCCTCCTGTCCCTGCCTGGCCCAAATCCCCAGACTAGTAAGATCAAAGAGAAGGCCACTTGGGCCTTAAGCTCCCTGAGTTTCTTCCCCTAGGCCTCGAAGTCCCTGGTGATCCTGACCACACCCTGCCTGGCCACGTCGTTTGTGCCCACATGGATCACCAGGAGCAGCTGGCGACCCCCGGAGCAAACAAGACACTCCACTCTGTCCTTCACATGCTCGATGCGTGCGCCCAGCAGGCAGCAAACCTCCCTTGTCTCCAGGCTGGAGCGGCACACCGCCAACTCAATGCCTCTGAGCAGGGAGTCCCGAACAACAATCACCCACCGCCGTGGCTTCCCAGTGGTGGTGGGCAGCCGTGCCCTGGCCTTCGTCTCTCCTGCAGCGGCCTCCTTGCCGCTTGAAACTATCATGACACTTGCTTGGAACCTGCTACCATTTTGGCATGGTTAATCATAGTGACACATTAATACTTGAGCGAGGAAGAAGCCTTTAACTGGCTCAACTGAATTGGCTTTATTTAATATAGAAATGACAAGAAATTATTTGACTCCCAATTCTGTTAATATTTACACTTTTTCTTAAAGAATGAGGTGTAGCAACAGATATAGGGACAGACAGGGCTCTTTATGGTACATGACTGAGAGAACAGAGCTTGCATGAGCAGAAATCCAAAGAAGAAGTATCTGGGAAATTGTGGCAAATTATTCAACAGAAGCCAGTGGCTAGAGAATTTAAAAATCAAAATTCAAACCCTTGCTCAGCCACCTATTACAGGATGCCCCAGAATAAATTTCACTCACCAACTAACTCCCTATCCATAAAATGTGAATCCACTCAAGAAAATGAATATAACAAATAAAAATTCTTCCCTTTTCAAATTTAAATTAGTATTCATGTTTGGATTTCTAGCTTGCACCTTTTTGAAGCCTTGGGGTGAACAACAATATTAAATGTAAAATTATTCAAATACCAATAGTTAAATTACTATTAAAGTACTAAAATACAATATTAGAATTCAATTTAACTGAAAGAGGAAGTTATCACATGACACTCAAAAGTTAAAATTGTAATGCCTTCAATTCCAACCAAGTGCTAGGGTTAATTGGATTTTCTTCCAGGTAAACAGGACTGAAATATGAATATGCTATGAAAAACTTAGCAATGCAGGGATATTCCATCATTTTGAACCTAAATACAAAATTACAGGTGAAGCCACAACAGCTCTTTTTCCCTCATTTCTGATGCTGAAACTCTGACCCAGTTGGTGCATCATGGATTATTTAACCCACAATTAGAAGGGATGGGAAGTAGTGGTGAATCTCTTTCATTTCTTGGAAACAGCCTCCAATCACCCCAATCAAAGGTCATCAATGTGATGTGTGAACCCAGAACACTGAGGGCTTCAGGGGCTAAACAATTCTGCAGTTAAACCCATGGAATAACCATCAGATAATTTAGTCCCCGAATAACCCATCAGCCTGGGTTCACACATGGAAACTGGAGATTGTTCACAGTAAAAGCAAGAGGCTCACAGGCAGTACATACCTTGCAATTTGTGGGTTACATAACACACAAACTGGCCCACTATCTCCCTTTTTTAAGTCACTCAGCTTACATTGTTTACTTTCCACAGCTTTCTGAGTTCCTACAGGAAAATGATTTTTCTAAGAGATGCTTTAAATTATAGAACTTCCTCTGTAGTTCTTGCTTTATGCTGAAGCATATTTTTCAGTGTGATTTTCGGTACAAGGTACTCAACCCTATGAAGGTGCAAAATGTTTTTACAGTGGCACAAAAGCTAAGTAAATAGTGCTTCTATTTTGTAATGATGGGTTTAATTGTGCATCCAGAGAATGTTCATATTTTGATGTTGTTTTAATAACCCAGCCATGATAGGTGCTTCTGCACAACTCTGCCACATATTTGTGTTGACGGCTCTTTAGTCTTCATATTGTTTGTTTGTTCGTTCAGATATGGCCTCCAACAAACTCTGCACCTTCCAGAAACAGGTTTATTTTAACTGAGATCTTGTGGTACTGGAATTACACACAGGGTTAGGGTCAGATTCTTTTTGCTTAACATTTTGCACCTTCACAGCACCTTAGAAAACAGTGTCTTTTTCTGCTGTGCCAAATGGCTAAATATGTCAAGCAATTGAAGAGTTAAAAGACTTTTTGGTAAAAGAAATAAATTACACTCAACACAGTTTCCAGTACTGACCCTCAGTCTTTAAAACTTTATTTCATCCAGCCCTGGTTGTTGTTGTCCCTCCCAAGAGATTAACATAAAATTTCACATCAAGCAAAATTGCCAATATGCATGAAATTTTAAGTGGACTCATGCTAATGGGCCCAATTTAAATAATGCTTGGAGGACCATGATTTGCAGTTTCTGTATATGGAATTTCTTAGCACAGAAGTGTATACTCCCAAATTAGTCAAATGTTCAGTTGTTAAGTGGGCAGCTTAGAAACTTCTTCAGCCAATGTTAGGCTGCTCTTCTGAGAGCTACTTACTGCAGCACGACGGACATAAACTGGATGTGAGAGATGCACATTATTCAACAGGAACAAAATTGAATCCAAAGTGTAGTATTCTCTTGGCTGGCCTTCTTTTCCTGTTCTGTAAAGGACAGAAAACAAGGGTGTTTTAGAGATTATTTGGAAAGAATATATACCACCTATGGTTCTGCTCATAAAAAGCTGGATGCCTCAACTACACTGATGGCTAAAGCAACCAGTGTTTACAAGAAAACTGCCTTGCAAATACTTTTACAAAGGCTGCCTATTGGTTTGCCTTGCTGTTCTCTACATTCCCCTCCATCAAAGTCATCTGCCCTTTAGGCCTTCCTCACCTTACCACAGCCAAAGTGGTTCTACCACAGCCACAAGCCAACTGGGACAGCCCTGAAGATCCAACATAAAGGGATAGCACCATAATATTTTCTTTAATTTATCTCTCTCCAACATACACAGAAGACATTTCCGAGTCTTACCGAGGAAATTACTTCTATTAAGTGCAATCCTCTCAAACAGGCAAGTATTTATTCTCATAAAGCTGGGAATTATAGCTGAAGATGGTACACTCTATAAAAGCAAGGAAGAGATACCAATTCGAGCAGGAATCACTATGGTAACTTAAAAGGAAAGCTTGCAGCGGGCTACCCTTATTTTCAAAGGTACCATATTTTGACTGAAAAAGAGCTGGAAGGACAGCAACACTGACTGTTGATCCATGGCGCTAGTAAAGGGCGGTTAAACTATCTTTCCTAAATGCAGGAAATAGGAGTAAGCACCTGAGATACATAAGATAATGTCGACAGATTAACTGTTTAAGATCCTTTTGCCTGGGTCACAGGGAATAAGCTAAACTACAGAGTAACTGCAGAACCTTTGCAAAGCTGGCTTCCATTATCACAGAAAACCAGAGGACTGAAAATGAAGAGGCATGAACATAGGCACATATGATACACAGACTGTTTATATGTGTGTGAATCAGTAGAGGACAGCTGCTTTGAGGGGCACATTCATGAGAGAGAGACAGAGAGAGACAGAATGAACCTAACAGGGAGAGGGAAGGAAGGAGAGAAAAGAAATGCAGAGTTGAGTTGGGTGGCAGAGGGCTGAGAATAGGGTTTGGTATTCCTAAAATAGGATACTTTTGACAGTGAAAACTATGGGAATTGTTTAATGCACTGGGGCTTAGAATCTGCCTCTACTTAGTTCCTCACCTTTTGCATAGAATACTTGCCTTTGTGACTAGCCTCGCATGCCAACCATTTTGCCTAGAACCTAGAACTGTTTTGTATGTTATGGATCTTAAATCTACCTTTGATACGGCTTAAGATAAAAAATACATCAACTGATAAAGTTTGCTTTATCTTACAGAGCAGCTGTATTCAAAAACTTCAATGGGAATTCCATGCAAAATGGGAGGCCATCTTTCAAATCCCGCTATATCACCCAAAGGATTTACAGGGTAATAGGCTAGATTTCTTTTAAAAAACTTGTACGTAAATTATCTTGTTCCCTGTTTTGATCCTTAACTTTCTGCTCTGCATTTCATGCATCAAAGTTTTCAGAAACCAGGGGGTGTATTCTACTTTATGTTGAAGATGAAGCTGGCCTTTCCCAGTCTCAAGGTTTATATTTTCTAAAGTAATTTTCCAATTATTGTAAAACTGAAGCCTTCTCTAATTTACTATGTTGAAAACATGGTAAAAGCAAAGGCCCCTACATTTATTTATTGCTTTTATATACCATTCAATAGCCATATATGACTCTCAGAACTCCCAAATATTGTATCTTCTGTGCATGGTATTCCCAAAATGCAATGAAAATATAATTGCTTTTCAGAGAGACACTCACTTGAACAACTCTCAACAGTTAAGTATTTGGGCATTTTTCCTCCCTTCTCCATCTCGGACACTCCATAGGAATTATGCTATTAATAATGCCCAAAGTAATGTTGTGATTATTCAGTGTTCTTCTATTCTGAAGGGAGTAATCATATTCTCTGTCTAGTGCAAGTTCTCACTGCTATAATAGTTGGTCAACTTCTTTATGGTGCTCAAATTTGGCTTACCAATTACAATTCAAATGCTGAGAAGTTTAATTGACTTTCTTATGGGCAATCTTTGGGGTCTTCTGGTGGAGGACAGGAAGGCCTGGAGGAATGTTGTCCATGGGGTTGTGATGGGTCAGACACGACTTCACGACTAGCAACAAATGCATGAAAGCTGCAGTTCAGCAGCTGAGGACAGACTTGGGCTCCGTGAAAGATAAAATGGTCTCTAATTTTGAAATTCTGGCTTCACCTAATGCTTCCTGTTCACTCTTTCAGTTACTTATTAGTTGATTTAGATCAGCATGTAAGTTTATGGATGAGGAGGCTACATGCTAAATACAAATTTTGGATTGTCCCCATTACTGGTTTTCTCATATTGCTACGACAAGGCTGGATCTTTTTTTTTTTTTTTCAGCATATGAAAGCTATGGATTTTCATTTACCACAGCAATTGCCTATTTTCCATTGCCACTAAGCATCTACTTAGTTTCTACAACTAAATCTATTTCAAGTATAGAGGGATGTTCATTCTTGTACATTTTACAAGAATGCTACTGCTCAAATCCCTCAGTTGCCCAGGGTGATGGCTCAGGAGAGCAGGACCGGTGTGATCCTGAAATGAGCCATGTTCAGAGCTTTGGCCAATTTCAGCACCTTGGTCAGGGGTGCAGGAACCAGAGAACTGGCAAGTTACTCCAGTACAGCCTGAGAAGAACTGTGAGGTTTTTATGGTCCCTTTTCAGGAGTTTCTCTGAAAATGCCACTGCTTCAGGTGTTGCCTCTAGCTCTTAATGAACAAGCAGACTTTCCTGGCAGTCAGTGGCATCTCATAGGAACAAGAATGGAGAAGGGGAGGAGCCAAGGCTCAGAAGATGATAATGACACCTCCTGGGACAAAATATGGGGTTTGATGCAGTGGGCCCCACTTCAGAAGGACCATAAACTGGTTCCGATTTCTTCCCAAACTCTCTGTCATAAGAGATTCCAGTTTCTGAGCAGTACCAGTCCTAAACTGTGACTGTTACACTCAATCATGAACATTCTTTTATTTGATACTGCAGCTGATTTTTAAAGAAAAGTTCCACATTTTAAAGATCTGCATGCATGTGAATTTTAAAATGCTATATTTTTAAAAAGGTGTCCTATTTTATATAAATTAAAATATATTTATATAAAATGCATTAACTAGATTCACTATTGGTTAATTTGTCTGCAGATATGAAAATTTGTACTTGCTATCAGGACTGTTTCCATGTCTCTGTTCACAGGTTCGGGTAAGCTGGCACTTTTGTGTGTGTGTGTGTGTGTGTGTGTGTGAAGCATACGAACTGCTAAAATCTTCTGTAGAAATGTGGAGTAAACACAGTAATAAACTATGCAGTGCTGGACTGAAAAACAGAAGTTATCTAACTGTCAAAAATGTATACTGAACTTAACTTCATTTTAACAGAAATGGAAATAGTTGCAGAAATAAAAAGAACTGAGCAATACTTCCCTGATCCTACACTGGACCTGCAGACTGTTTTTAATAATGATGGCAGAACAAGAGAAAATGGAGGTGAAGAGTTATAGTATGCTGAATAATTAAAAAGGATGCCAGGAAAATGGCAAAGGCATCTTTGGGGCCTAAGTGCAACAGAAATAAATCAAGTTTCAATAGTAGAGGGTGAGCTACACAAGGGGGCAACAGACAGATTTGGAAGATTATCACGAAAAAGAGAAAGAAGCTGATATTAAAGGTTTCAAAGGAAAGCAAACAGTGTTGCTTATTGGTTGGTAAGACCTGCTTGGAAATACTCCACAGACACAGGTTACCCACTTTTTACCAGCCTCTGGATCACACAGCTTTGGACACAGCTCTTACTTATTCATACCCCGGATGGGGTAATAAACTTCAACCTCTGCTCATTGTGATTTTCAGTCTCATGGAGATCAGGTGTGACAGAGGTGATGGAAAAACTCGAAATCAGTTGAGTCATGCTCAGCAGTGCATAGTATGTAATGCAAGTAAACAATAGGATTTAAACTGAAGTGGCTGTTAAGCAAAGCCTTTTCTGGATTCCTGATTAGAATAAAGGAAAACAAACACAGAAAGACACAAGAAAACTGACAAGTGGAAGTTTGAGGAAGGTTAACTAGCTGTGGCCTCAATATAAAACCATAATCTTCCAGCCTATCCGTCAAAAAGAAGACCACTAAGCATGAAGTCTGCAAACTTAATACCCCATTGGGAGACGTGGCTGTCCCATAGGTTAAGCAATCAGGATCCACACCATCACAAATATAGCTACACACTTAAATTGGTCCTCTCATGTACCTTTTCTGACAAGAAACCAAGTTTCCAGCAACAGAAGTCAATGACACTAAAACGAATGCAGTCATAACGAAAGCCAGTGTGGTATAGAGGTTAGAACTGTGGGAATGGGACTCAGGTACACTGGGTTGTAGTTTCCGCTCGGCCATGGAACCAACTGGGTGACTCTGAGCCAGTGACAGATTCTCAGCCCAACCTACCTCTCCGGCTTGTTGCTGAGTGCAGGAAGAGGAGCATTTTGTGAATTTGCTACAAGAAAAAAGCAAGTTATGTATCTAATAAATAAATAAAGCAACAAAGAATAGTCCACAGGGTGTGCAGCTCTACTTGAAGAACACAGTGCAATAAATCTATCTCATTTTACAACACAGTAGAGCAATCTGAGGCTGAAACTTCAAGATTTGAACAGGGGAGGCTGGGCTAGAAAAACAGAGAAACGTAGTGGACAGCAAGTCAGAGAAGCATCAGCAGAACTTAAGAGCCATCCATGCGGACTCCCACAAATATCCAGCAGCTGGTCTCAAGGGCTGACAGTTAATGCAAAAAGAAATAGAAGGTGGACTCTGACCGAAAATAAACAAAGGAAATCAATAGCATGCCTGGGGGGAAAAAGTCTCCCAGAGACTCCTGGCTCCTTGTCTGAATTAAAGTTCACTGGCTAACCACAGGGGAGTATTATGCTTCTGAAGCATAGATTCTGGGGGAAGGGGGAACCATGGGATGTACCCAAGTGGTACACCAA